TTAGGAGCCATCAAAGACAGACAATGCAACATGAAACTGTTAAAAATATTCATCCCTTTTGGCACAAATCCCTCTTTGCATTCTCTCTCATCTTTTTAAGATTACTTTTTCCATCTCTACCATTTATATGAGCTTGAAGCTACAGCATGCAATGTTTCTTTAAAAAACAAAGGAAAACTAATCTATTCTAACCCAAAGAACACAGTATCTTTAGTGCTAGAAGGAATGGTTAAGATTGGTGTTCTGCATTAAAAGTATCAGGGTCATTTATAAAAGCTCATGGTTTTTTATTTTTAAAAAAGATTCAGCCTTCTGGTCCCTCTGGTTCTGTCTCTGGTGCCTGTTTAGTAACTTTTATATTTATAATGGCTTAATTTGACGTATCTATGGCCAACTGGATTGTTGCACTCATAATATTTTTTTTAAATTTGTATGAGCAGAGCCTACTTGGAAAAGATTTCCATTAACTAGTTTAAATCTCAGACGCGCCTCTATGATCATCCAGAGGACAAGGGAAAAATGACCCGACATTTCTGTCCAGTTTTCACAGAAGACAAAAATAGAGGAAAAACCTGCTCTGAAGCACACAGCTGTACAGCAGGGGTGCATGAAAATAAACATCCCTCAGCTTTTTTATGGAAAAAAACCTGATTTAATCTGTTTAATAGCATGCAGTAAGGCTGTTCAGTTAAATGTATTTTTGTTAAGCTAAGTTTGAAATCTGATGTCTCCTGCCTGGCCGTAACTTGAACCTATTGTTACTAAGCCCTTTAAGAGTCGTCAAAAGGGCATGAATGTGGCTCTCCAGTGACACCTGCACCTTAGCAAAGCAGAACAGTGGGTGTTGCTGAAACACAATACAAAGGGAAGAACAGACGTTACAAACCTGCCTTGCCTGGTTCTCGACAGACTGCCCTGGGCAAAGGTGTAAAGGCAGGAGCAAGGCACTGAGGATGACAATGTCTCAGGCCTCCGTATACATTTGCTGGTTAAGACAGAAGTTCTGCCTGGAAAGATCTTCTAGCTTCATAAAATATATAAAAAAGATTAGATATTGGATGCATGAAATGCAAGATTAGTATTTCATTTTTGAAAGGCTGTTTCCAGTTTGAGGCACCCTTACTGAAACAGTTTGCCAGCCTTTCTCAGAGCCTTCACCAAGGGAGTGTACTTTATTTACATTATGTTCCGTTAATTTTCTTCATGTTTCTGCTCCTGCCCCAAACTTCATTCTTCAGTACTTACACTTTCTCTGGCCCAACTCTCCCTGCTCAACAAGTCATACAAACCCACCTCTCAACCCCAGCCCTGGTTTCTTTGCTGAAAATCATTCAACCTCTTCTCATGCCAGTCCCAGTTCCCCTTCCCCAGGAAATTTCCTTCATCCTTCTTCTCGTCCCAGTTCTCAAACCCCCATCTTTCAATCCTGCCCTGACTTTCCAGGCAGCTTCCATATAATTCAGGTAATTTCCTCCTTTACACTGCCAGAGTGATAAACACCTCTTAGCTTTGCCAAATCTCAGCCTCGCCAGACTACAAGCTCCAAAAAGATCCAAGCGTGCCCCTTTTCTCTCCAGTCATGGAGTTGCAGATGTTCAAAGACATGTAACATAGCCAAATTTAGGTGAATTTTAACTGGGATATCAGTAAGACACATCCTTGTCCCAAAGCTGACCTCCTGGCAAGGCTCACACTTTCCCTCCCAAGGCCTTAGAAGAGATGAAGAGCAATGAACCGTTTTCAAAGAAAAGGTCACCAGGAGTTTAACATGAGCAAAATGACATTTCATCCTAGCTTTATTTACAGAACCAGATGAACCATTTCAACTAAGATTTTCAAAGCCCAGCATGGGAAGTTTCAGCACAAATAGCTAAATTGACAAAATTTTAAAAAGCTGAGGGCAGGTTACTGTTCTGGGGAACGCTGAGGGAAGAGGAGCCACGCACCAACTCTGTCAGAGAACTTTTCCCCTTTAAACTAACACTGGCAGCTGCAGGGCAGCTAGTCTGCAGTCCAAATGGTCACTATATTTCTTTTTAATGAGAGTTTGGACCTGCTTCAAACCTAGTGCTAAAATTAGGTCTTTTACTAGTTTTTTAATTTTCCAGTTCAAAGGCTAGAAGTTTTCAGAAACCACGTAAGCCACTACTGAAGGTTACAGTCTGGACCACGGTTCTGAGTCCAAGGCATCCAACAGAAGCTGTTTTGCATTTTGTAGGAAGCCAGATGAGCATAGCTCAAAAAGGCAAAAGTGTGGCACTTCACATCAATCTCATGCTGCTAATGGGGAAAATAGTTCCACTTTTACAAAAGCCAAGGGAATGAGAAGGATAAATAACTAGATACAGAGCCTTGGCTATAATCATAGCACATGGTAGTTTAGATGCACCTTTTCTAAGAGACCTCTCTCTACAGGACACAAGTTATTCCAAAGACATCAACAACATGCCAGCCTGACTGATGTGATCCATCACTGCTTTCTTTGATGAGATCACCACATGCTATTGCAGAGCAGAAGTAGCCTCAGTGCCTGAGCCCAAACTTTATGGTTCAAGCATCAACAGTGTTTTCACTCAGGAAATTTATAGTCTTTGCCAAGCTCAAACTGGAATGAAGACACATCACTCATGTTGTAACCTTTCCAGCAAACTCAGCTCCACATGCACTATTTAAATTTCTTTTCTGGTTGTGTCATTTTGCAGTAGACATAGGAAAAGGGTTAAAAGTCAAAACAGGCAAGATGTATCAATAAGTTAAACTCAAATTTTCTTGAAATAAGTAGCAGTCTGAGAGTGCCAACTCAGATCATGTAAGACCATATACTTAAAAATGTTTGGCTCAGAAAAATTACCTTTATTCATTTTCCACCAGTGCCCCCCAGAGCAGGTCTTTTAGAGTATTCAAAAGGCAACACCGCACTAGTAAGTACTCAACTCTTTCAGTTATTCCATTTTACTTTTCACATCGAATATGTTAACTTGCCTTTAAATCAATGCAGAGCCCCTCCTGAAACTTTTATATATGTGCTTTTTATATACTGTTTTTTCTTTTACTGACACTTTCACTTACTGATTATGTTTCAGGGTGAAGAACCACATGAAGAAAATCAAATTTTAAAGAGACAGATAGGCGAGATCACAATCTATAACATTTTTTTCCTTTTTTAATAGTCATTGACGTACCTGATGTGCTCATTCACCTATCTACCTTTCAAGAAAAGTTTTACAAGTAATTAATCTTTTATTTTTCAACAAAAGTTAATCAATTAGTGCAAATGACGATGCATGCTCATCAGTTACCAATATATTGCTTTATTTCTTGGTAGCAAATTAAGGCTTTATAGTGAGATTTGTACAGTACAGGCCAATTTAAACATTAGAAACCTTAAAAACCATGTAACACTACTCACTCAATTTAGCACAGCCAGAAAAGTAGCTTTTTTTTTTTTTTTAATAAACAGTTAAATGTTACTAATGAGGCCTTATATTTCATGAGTGCAAATGGCTCAAAATCCCACCATCCTCAGGAATGGGCTTAACATTTAACTATTCTCGGGGCCATTTTGAGATAAAGGATAAACAGAGAGTATAGCTGACTCGGATAAAATATACCGTACTATTTGCTGGAGAAGAATGTCTTATTTTAAAAATAGAGAAAGGAAAACCAAAGTGATATTAACTGGCCAGAGGATGGTATCACCTCCTGTTAGTCACTGACCAGTGACAGTAGCAATGACAAATTCATTTTCCATGGCCCTCTTTGCTTTAGTACAACCTGATTTATAATTCAGAGCTGATGACATCCTGTATGTTAAGAAACTCGAAATCGGAGGAACATTCATAAGTTACCATAATTTTTGCAGCAGTAAGACAAGTTCCCTCTGCAGGGACATGTCCAAACCACTGCTTTTTTGTAATTTGAGAGAGCATTGCTACAAGTATTTCCCCAGCAGTTATGTATTTTTCTCGAGCATATGGATTTTCACTTCATATCAATGATTTTATTAGTGTTGTCTGGAGATGATGGAACTACTGCTTATGAAAACCAGACATGGTGCTTCCCTTCTTATGTTCTCTACCAAGACCTTTATAGCGTTTGAGCTGAACGTATGAATTCACCTGTCAGTCAGGCGCAGGGGGCCTGCCTGAAAATATCATCACCCCTAACGTGTCTGGCTTTCAGTTTTGAGCATTACATGTGAAAATGCAGAGAAACGGCTGCCAGAAAATTGTGAAGAAAGTAACCATGAAACAGCCACACGCTCTGGAGAGGGAGGCAATGAGATGGGGAACCTCCAAACCACTCTTGCTCTTGAATGAGCAAGAGTGACCATGAGAGTACAAGTGGCTCCCAGTGTCACAGGGCAACGCTGGCGTTTTATTTCCTTGTTGAACAGCAGTCATTTCTCCAGCCTAAGGGAACACACACAGACAGGGTTTCGCAAAATCTAAACCTAATGTGAATAACACTCGAAGCCCCTCTGTCCCCAGTGGTGTTATCTAACATCAGGATAACATCTTTGAAGTCTTGAGATCAGCTATCTATCCTTTGAACTGTAAGGCCACAAAAAAGGGTCAGGTTTCTGTGTGTATTAAGGCACATATTGAGCTTACCTAACACACGTGTCTGGTTTGCTCAGGGAGTGTCAACTGCAGTGGTGCCATGGCTGCTGAAGAGATACAGTGAAGGAACAAAGACAGAGTTGCTGCTGACAGCTGCACAGCACAGCAGCTGGGACTGCCCTGTGCAAGCTGCTCCACAAAGCCTCGGAGAGTCCTGGGTGTACTACAGTGCTATCTCAGCTGGTTGCAGAACTACAGCAGCTTCTCAGGCTGGTTTGCCGGCTTTCTCCTTTGTCAGGCCACCAATATCTCATCTGCTTTCCTTCACCTAGGTGAATATCTCACTGCTTATCAGAGCCAGAAGTCCCTATCTGCTACCAAAGGGTGGTACTACACATGCAGGAGAGGGCAGATTTAGAAGTGAAGGCAAGTAGTGATGATGCACGAGTGACCTGGAGGGGGGCTTTCCAAGAGAATCCATGCATGGGCACAGTCTCCAGATTCACTCAGCAGAGTGCTCGGCAATGGCCAGCAGGTCTTATTCTGCCTCAATCAAGTATGTTTAAGAACACTACCCAGTATTTCCTGAGGGATTACAATGGATCACTACCAAACAGAAACTACTTGGAGACAAGGGGATGCTATATCAGCCATATTGGAAGAAGTTGGGGAACACAGACACATATTGCATAGTCAGCTTCATGAGCACAGCTGGAATTCAGATGTATTTGACACAGCTTAGTAACATTTCCAAAGGAGGGATTATGTGCTATTTCCTTTGGAGGTAGCTACTGCAGCCTGGGACAAAATCATGACTGTAATGTAAATGGCACCCCACTGGGGATGCTGAGCACTCATTGCTTTTGCATTAAAGCAGCCTCTCCATGGAGACCCACCACACCTTAAAAAGTGATCATAGAAAAAGCAAACAAAATAGTCCTCTAGAAACCCCTCTCACCCACAACATACAAGAAAAGCTGACTCCCGTGAGCTATAGAAAAGACAACATTACAGAATATGGGAGCGTGTGTTTATACATCAGTGTTTTTAATACTGCATTGTAATGACACGTGTGGGGTGTCCTTTCAGAAGAAGGCAGGGTTGGTGTGCTCTATAATACAGCGCTTGCAATGTCGTTTAACAAATCGCAGAGCATCCACAGAGACTTCGCAGTCCTGCACGTTCAACATCTGCAGGTCAAAACAGTTGGCAGCTACAATCTGCAGGCCCTGTCCAGTGATGCTCTCACACGATTTCAGGCTCAGGCGCTTCAGGTTGAAGCAGTTGAGAGCTAGAAACTCCAGGCCGGTGTCTGAGACCAGAGGGCACTTGCCAATATCTAGTGATTTGAGTTTTGTGCAATTTTTGGCGAGGTACTCCACCCCGTGGTCCGTGATGCCCTCGCAGCCCCGCGCGTTGAGGTAGCGCAGCTTGCTGCAGTATTTGGCTATGTAACGGATGCCCACGTCTGTGATCCGGCCGCAGTGAGCGATGCTAAGGTACCGCAGGCGCGACTCCAGCTTGGCAATCTCCCGCATGCCAAAGTCACTGACAAAGCGACAGTCGCTCACACTGAGTTCCTTAATGGACGTGCAGTAAATCATCAGGTAGCGGAGACCCTCGTCGGTGATGCGGACACAGCGGCGCAGGTACAGGTGGGTCAGTTGAGTGCAGTGAGCGGCAATGGTGTGCAGTCCTTCGTCCTCCAGTACAAAGCAGTCTGTCATGTCCAAGTAGCGAATGGAGATTTGTTTCCCGTGTAAAGGAGACAGCTTGATGGAAGCTTCACGAGTCAAACTGATGCACGTTACTTTGGAGCAGCCTAAGTGGAAAACACAGCAAATTTAAGGAAGCACTAAAAACAAATCGCACAGCCAGACCAGAAAGGTGGGCATGAAATTGCGTGCTGGATGTGATGAAGGTATCTTCATGTTGCAAAAGCAGAATCATCCTGACTAACTAGCCTGAATTTGCTGTGATGTGTCCCTACACCAGAGGAAATAATAAACTCCACTGGAGTCAGTAAGGTTGCTTTGGGATTTTGAGCACCAGCAAAGTGACAGACCAATTTCATCCACATCCCAAATGTAAACCAATGGTCCTAGGTTTATCTAGGGACAGTCTATGATCTGTTACTGCAATATAAACCCAGGGACAATTTGAGAAAATAGTACAACACGACAACCAACACAGCTTTTGCATCAGAGCAGAGGCAGTCTCATTGCTGACTGGCTGAGTTTGTAAACCAGTATCAGAGGCTCTTTCACCATCCAACTCCATTATAAAAAAGACAAACTCCACCCACCCTCCAAAAAGCATTTGGAGAACAGATGTGAATCCAGCCCCAAGCCTGCAATGTGGGAAGGATGCAAAACTATGGCAAGACTACGTGCTCGCGGAAGGGTGGGGATTCGGGTAACCTGAGGGGAGTCAGCAGGAGCCGAGAGACTGGTAAGGGCATGAGAGGACATGGACAGATGCAGAAAAGGACTGTTTCAAGTGAGAAAGTCTGCCCATGAAAGGAGGTAACTAGGTTAGAGAAGAAGACCAGACCTTGCAAGGAGAGATAAAGAGCTAGACTAAAGGGAAAAACATGGTCACACATTTCCCCTATTTTTATCCTCCACTCTGTGTATGGTGGTGAATGAAAGCTTTTTTTTTTTTTTTTTTTGGAAAATGCTGTTTCTGTTGCACTGCAAACTGGCAGTCTTGGGCTCCTGAAGTGGAACTCTTATCTGTGCCAAGTTCAGCTTGGCACATTGCAGTAGCATAGCTAGAATCAGCTGCAAGGAAGAAGAGGTCTACCTGTTAGTGATCAAGGCTTTTCTGTATTGCTGAAACACTGGCCAATGGGGATGAAGTGACCCATGAAAGGCCAGAAAAGTTAGGATGATGACCTTAGAGCTCTGTGTATCAGAAATGCTGCACAAATCCTGTAGTCTGGAAGTGAAGAGCATGACAATGTATGGAGATCACCTCAAAAACCTGAACGACCCAAACCCATACCACTTGATAAAACACGTTATCATTCAGAGGCTTCATGGAAGGTGTGAATATGCTTCAGTTCTCAAAAACAAAAAGAAAAATAAATCCCTTGAGATAATCAGTGGGCTCACACAAATGCTATGAGCAGCATGGGATATGGATTTGAAACAGTTTGCCACCTGCAATTAGATTTCCATATTCATCATTTGAATTTGAAGCTGGCTTTTTAATTTAGGCTTCAAATTTATTTGAACAGATGCAAATTCTACCTCAGGCCTCACACAATGAAATGGACAAATTGTCCACAGGTCGTGCAGAAGCTCTGGACCTTTGAAGCAAAGCACTTTATTCAAGGAATAACATCTTCTTAGAACTGAATGCTGCTATTTCCTCTTCAGACTGCGTTGCTGACCTGGCTAGGTTCTGGAGAAATCTTTGGAAATGCATTTGCCTTCAAATAAGCACTACATACACGCTTGCTAATGCAAAGTTATTTTTCCAAAGGGAAACGGTACAATACTAATAGTGAAATGAATTTCACCTTCAATATGTTCTTTGGAGTAGGTGCTACAAAATGCACCGCAGAAGTCCTTATCCTTGAGCTGGCACCTAGGCAGAATTCTGCTGGACCTGACGCGGCTGTTGCTATTGCGTTTGCCTGAGGAGGTTGTTGGATTAAGGAATCAGTCTGGATATTTTACATGCTGACCAGAATTCAATTTTAAAATCCGGCTAAGTGTGAATGAAGGGTTGACAAGGCTGAGGAAAATGTTCTGTCTGCTGAGGAATCAAGAAGGTGGGAGACTTTAATGACTGCAGTTAGAAAGTGAATGGGTCAGAAGTCTCATAGCAGGGTTGGAGTCACTGTACATCAGTGTTTGATCGCTGTTTTGACAAGCTAAGCATTGTCTTGTCCAGTTTACTTTGGCTACACTGTAAAATATTTCACGAGAAGGGCATTTGAAAACGTTTTACCAGAAAAAGCGTTCATGTTGATGTAGAACTGCCTGATTTTTAGGCAAAATGACAGGTTCCTGGGTCTGTAACAATTTTTCTGTCCTAAATAATAAAAAATTAAGAAACAAAGCTCTTGTAGAAGGATTTTCCATAAAGTAAGTGTAACTGATTTTTAAAAGGGAGGAGAAACTTACAAACAGATAAAAAAAAAAATGTTGGCTACTATGTTAGATAATAACTTGCAGTCAAGCTCAACCAGCTTCTAGAGATACCTCAGAACTGCCCACAAAGTGGATGCTGAGAGTGACAGAACTTACATTGTGGAAAACTCTGAAAGTTAATACGAACGTCTGGTTTTGACATTAAAGATTTTGGTATGTTACTGCTGCCAAGTAACTATCCAAGAGGGAGAGGGATTCAACTAGATGTACAACTGTGAACTAGGGTTTAATTAACTAACTACAAGTATAGCGTTATCTGCCAGCACATGTACCCAACTTTTCTTGCTCAGTATAAAACCAATCCAGTGAACCACTTCAGTCCTGCAAATTACTTGAGAGTGTAGGTGTATGCCTTGTCCTCCTAACTACTCCTTGGACTTGATTACAGCAAAGATCTTCTCATGTACGGCCTCCTCAAGTTATCCCAGAATTTGTCCAAGGACCTAGAGCACAGCCTCATTCCAGACAACTCCAGAGAGTCTGTACAGCAACCAAAATTGCTGTTTGAAATCTTACTTCTGGAATTATTTTCATAAGACACTCAGATAGGAAAAGAAATTGTGTCTTTTATTTCCTCTCTGGCCTTCCCTGTCTTACCTTCTATTTAAATACTTAGTACCCAAAGGGCAGTAAGAGAGAGAGCTGCATAGTTGATAACCCTTTCTTCACTGAAAGGGTTATCAGGCACTGGAATGGGCTGCCTGGGGAGGTGGCTGAGTCACCATCCCTGGAGGTGTTTAAAAGATGCTAGATGGGGCGCTTGGAGATATGGTTTAGTAGTGGATAGCTATGGTTGGACTTTGTGATCTCAGAGGTCTTTTACAACCAGGAGATTCTATGATTCTATAAGTACTTGTAGCACAGTCTGAGCCAGAGCTCGGCAAGAGTTTTCAGCACTTGCCTTCATACCACAACACAGGCTGGTGAAAATCCTTGCCCCTCCCTTTGAAGAGGAAGAGTTACAGCTACAGACACATGGACTGCTTTTCCTGTTTAGTTTGTAAGACCAGGAATCACCCCTTCTGTCTGCGAAAATGGAGAGAGGGGAGACGGAATGAGAACAAGAAAATTTACTTCTATAGGAAACAGCCACAAAGATGGACAAGGGGAAGCTTTAAGAAACAGTTTGAATCTGCCCAACAGCATCCCTATTTGTTCAACCAAGGCTTTCAGTCCTTGAGGTGTTGTCCTGTGAACCAATTATACTTTCTTTTCCCCTAAATCTGTTTCCTCTCTTCACAGAATACTTGTTGGAACTGCCTTTCCCTGGTATTGTAAGATGCCCCTTCCTGGTCAGTTCTGCAATTTGTTACTGAAAGAAGACGCTGCTTCGGTAAGACTTCAAGAGAAGCTGTTCTTCACTGAAGATCAATGTGTTTAGACTGGGAGTGTCCTGTCCTTCCGGCAAGGAATGAGACATAACTGGCAGGATGAAACTAGTCCTTGTGGATAACAAAATATTTTAAAAAGGATGAGGTCTGCATTACAGAAGCAGCAGCCTCCATAGCAGACAAATCATGTGAGGGGAATGCAATCCTTGGCACACAAACTATGGAAGATGGGTCAGACTCACTCTTAATTTGAGGACTTTGCTGTGGTGTATTCACCATTGTGAGCTTTGCTACAACTGAGGTCACTTCTAGCCCTAACAGACAGCATTAAATTTGCTTAGTTGTATTAAATTCCCTTCCTTCTGCACATGCCACCAAGTACACATCACATGTGAAATACATGAACAATAAAGTCACTAAGAGATTATAATTAGATATCCTGACAAACTGCACAACAACCCTTCAAAAAACCAGGGTCCAACAAGAAAGAAGTATAAAACATTTTTATATATTTTCTTTCAGCCAGACAAAAGGAGAGCAAAATTGAGTCCTGCTTCTACAACATCCTTCAAAATTACATCAGAACAAAAAAAGTGGGCTCAAAACAAGACCCCAGAGATCAAATATCCTCAATTCATAAGCAGGCACAAGCAGCAAAAGCCATGTCTGCACCCAAACACCCTGACTTCTGAGAATGTTCAGAACCAGGATTTTTCCCTTGCCTGCTCAAAAAAAGGAAGGACAACTTATAAAAATGTGAGAATAAACTTACTTTACTGTTCCAGTGATGAGAAAAAATGTAAGGAAGACAGGTACTTTACTCACTCCCTACACACTTGGGACCAAACTGATGAGCTCTTAGGGAGAGGCACCAGCTTCTAGGTCTGAAAGTAACAGGCTTGGGGAAACCACAAATGAAGACAGACCCCAAAAGAATGTATTTCAAGACCTGGTATCATCTTTTCTTTTGAAAAAGTTGCCTTTGGTCTGTATCATATCAGTAGAAGTTGTGGACTAAGGTATTTTTAGTCACCTACAAGGAAAGTCCCCAAGTACACTCTGCGTGTCAGCTAACAGACTGTTGTGCCAAGGCCGTTCAGCCTCTGCTCAGCATTTCTACTTCTCCTGTCTCTCTAGGCCCAGGGTACTCCTGCCACGCAACTCTCCACATCATCCAAGAGCATGTAATAAGAAAAGCATAACGATGCCTGGCATACAGCCAACCTTCAGACTACTATGTAGCTCCAGGTCAAAATCACACAGGCACATACATTATTTCCTGGTGTTGGAGATGCTTCAGCCTGAATGCGTTGTTAGCGATCCAGAGCTAACGTCAGTATGTACTGACAATAAGTAATTCATATGCAAGGTCACTGTGAATAGATTCCATGGGACAGGACTCCCATAAAGTCCCACGGAGACTCCTGATCACCTGGCGTTTTACAGAAAGCAAACACAAAAAGTGAAAATTCTGCTAAGTTGCTATTTGTTTTGATGCCTTCCATGACATTCTGCCATCCTAGGGATATTAGGTGAAAGACTTGGATAAAGCAGTTAAAAAAAAAAAAAAAAAGTCAGAAAAAAGAAAGCAAATGAGATAGGCAACCTTGGAAAAATCAGTTTATCTGGGTACCAGTGACTCAACAGCACTGCTTCCTTTCCCCACTTCATCCTGATCATTGCCCTTATTACCTCTGCAATGGCAAATCTGGGCTGGGTGATTAATAACAACATTAGACTGAAAACAAGTGAGATCACAAAATAAGTATTGAACTTCAAATTTACGACAGTGCTCTGCTTGGATGCATCCTTTCAACTAAGTGCCAACCCATCTGCAGAGAAAAAAATTTGTGTGGCTGACCTTGGGGAAAAAATAACACGTATCCCCAGAGCACATCTGAAGAAAACTGTCCAAAACATTTCTGCTGTTCTAAACAGTTGCAATGATACAGTGTAACTGGGTGAAAGCAAAAGCAGAAAGCCACTAAGCTAATGTATACACTATTAAATAAATAAATAAATACATAAATAAACGGTAGCTCATCTAAATCTGGTCAAAAGAAAACAAAGGGACCTTGAAGTTTAGCTAGGGATGACGGTATTTATACCCAGGCAAAAGCCTAGCACTGATTCTGAGCTCCTGCTCAAGTCACTAGATTATAGATATATACATTGTATATTCTATACATATAATCTACATAGAAATTATTTATATATATATATATATAAAGATAAAACAGTTTTTGCTCCCATAGTTAACCTTGACCATATGACGCACCACTGACTGCAACATGGGCCCTTGTCAGGGTGCTTTGTGCAAAAATCTATGAAAAGCACTCGTGCTATTTCAACAGGCCACCTCTGCTAGCTCACCTCCATCAGAGAAGGCCTGGTCACTCAAGGGGTGCTGCTGGTGTTTGGGGCACTGAGACTCTAGCGGTGTCTGTCTCACCAGTCCCATGTTAGGAAACTGGCATTCCTACCTCGAAAGACAATACAGAAAGGGACAGTGTGCAGTTGTGGGGCCAGGGGTTTGACAAACCTGAGTCTTTTAGACTCAAATGCATCTGTATTGAAATGTTTCCTGTTACCTGACACATCCAGGTGTTCCAGGTTTGGGCACAGTGACACGACATCAAAGACCGCCTCATTGGAGATATTGTAACAGCCAGACACCTCCAGCCTCCTCAGTTCTGGACAGCACTGGGCAATGGTGTAGAGTCCTCTGTCTGTGAGCCGCCTGCAGCCACTAACAATTACTGTCTCCAACATGAGACATACGTTGGGTGTATCCTGACAAAGCCTCCGGGTCAGCACTTTAAGAGCCCTGTCTACGTTGATTGTCTCGCCAGTCAGGCGAATAGTTCTCCAGAGTCGGGGGTCCCAGGCAAGGTTATACCAGCGGCGGCACACGCGGGCACAGCGGCACAGCTGGTTGGTGGGCAGGAAGGAGAAGATCTGGATCATGGAGTGGTCAGGCAGCCGGTCTATGTTGGCCTGTTCCTTCTGGTGCTTGGACGCCAGCCGGATGAGAGGATGAGTGAGACGGGTTGGAGGCGGCGAGTGGACCATGGCAACAGTCTCTCCAGTGACTGAGGATGAAGACGTCGACGACCCTCTGCCATTCTGGAAACCAGGGGAATTCAGTGGAAATATTAATGCTGGACTGGGTGTGCTGAGTGTCCGCATGCTCAGGTCGGAGTCTGGAAGACAAAACACAGGATTTCAGTAAGTGGTGGGCGGACACAGAGCTCTCTTCACGGTGCAGCACCCTGCTAGCCCATTTGTTAATGGAGCATGGTGGGTTTCAGGGTTTGTTGGAGGTTAAGCAGTCATTTTTACCACTGAGAGTGAGGAAACACTTATTTCAAAATCTATCTTACAGTATACTCTGAAAATAACTGTTCACCTTAGTGCTGGGTACATGACAGAGATGCAGCCCTTGCTGCGCTGTCAAAGCCACGCTAGCAAAGGAGGGGTTGCAGGTCTGAGCCCTGTAATGAAGAGGAGACAGCAGTGGAAGTGGAGGGGTTGTAATTCTTCATACTCTCAATTAAACACTGCAAGAAATTAGAAATTTGAGTTGCAGGCCCTTTCGAGAGAGAGTAACTGCCCATAACCTAGGCAGTTGTGAGCTGTTAGCAGAGGAATACTGTGGTCCTTCTCCTCTCAGCTCCTTGAGCTGTTCAGTGGGAGGTCAAAGAAGAGCTCAGAAGGCAAAGGCTACTTCCTTCACCAGACCTGGGTAGATGGGAAAAGCACAACCCCATACACTTATTTTCCTTGTGTCATTAAAGAAGTTTATTTTTCATTCATGCAAACTGGGACTCAGCAGTTCAACCAAGAGCCCAGTGACTAGTTCTTGAAGGGGAGCTGGCTGTGTCTCTTCACGTGCACGCAGAAAGCACTCCTTTCCAATGGACTAAAGTCAACTTCAGTTGCATTTGAAAAACAAAAGTGCAGAAAAGCAAGTGGTGAAGAAACAACATGCCTGTTACAGAGCTGTTGCACAACATTTACATGCTTCTTTTGCTAGAGCTAATTGTCACACTAGAAGAAGTCAACCCAAAAAACCCCCCACAAAACAATTTGCTAATTCTTTACCTCCTTTATTTCACTTCGCTGGCAAAAAGCAGGCACAAAAATAAAGGGCCTCTGCTGCTAAAAGTTGCCTTTGCTGTAAGATTATTTCAACAGTTTTCCCTCTGTGCTGACATTGCTGCCTACAAGTCATTTCCACTCTTGCTCCCAGCTCTCCAGGCAAAGCAAGTAAAAGACTGGAAGACAACTAGGATATAATTTTGATAGTCAAGCAAATGCCATAGGCAATACATTTAGAAACCCTGAGATATTTTAGCAGTATCCTACACAAAGTGCAACCAGTGTATGAGAGATGAATGCTGCTGCTGAGTACGCTCCTTCCATGTCTGGCTTCTCAGTTCTGACCTCAACACAAATTCTTTAGGCAGGAAAGCACCATCCAGAGATGAATACAGGAACCACAATTTAGTGCCCAGTAGAATAACAGCTATCACAAACTGAGCAAGAACAGTGACTTAAGAGCACCAAGCTTTCCTCCACGTCACATTTTCTGCTATTACTTCAGTGTTCAAACATTTCAGGGAAGCATGCAAAGCCATCTCCTTAAGGTAACACTGACTCTACAGCTCTGTGACTGTGACAGTGTAGATATGGGTTAAGCAGGGTAGAGCCAGAAACACATTCAACAAACCTGCCCAAATCTGGGTTTAGGCAGAGTTTTTAAATTAAGTTCATTGTAGATGAATTTTATCAGTGTATTACACATGAATTTCCCCATCAAGCTTTTGCTTAGCCCAGCACAGGCATGCTCTGATCTCACTAGCTACAACAATAGCAACCCCAGGCCTGCATTTTCGTAACACATCTGCAAGGGAGACGGGCACGACCATTTAGCTGAAGAACCCAAGACAAAGTACAGCAGCTTGCCCAAAATCACCTAGTCCAGTTGCAGAGAGATCGAAATCATCATCTCGGGTTGTGAAGGAAAAACCTACGCTACCCAGCTCCTTCTCTCTTCCTCTTCTGTATCTTGATTTACTTTGACAGAAACTCAGTATTTCAGGACGTGACAGGAAAAACATTTTTTTCAAAGCTTCTGAGTCTATGCTATGGCTATGTGGACCTAACCCAGGGATTTGTGTATTTTTGAGCAAGAACTGTATTTTAATGAAGAGTAGGTTTTGCAGACACTCTGCTCCCCTTTGAGACCTCTTAATACCCCCTTGGCAGCTATTGCAAATAATTGCATCGAGGAGTGTTATTTAAAAAGTGTCTGGTATACTCTGGTATTTTAAAAATGAGATTTACAGCTGGAGAGAAAAAAAAAAGACACAAAACAAAACATGAGCAGCAGCCAGGCTCCTGCAGACAAGCTCTGACTCCACAGACCACTTAGGCAACAGTCCTCTAGATTAATTTGCAAGGACTTACCATATGTTTGACCTCCCTCACATTACCACCAAAATCAATGACAGTGCCTGAAGTTAAACATGTGCAAAAGATGAGGCAGGCTTGAAGCCTTTACTTTTTGCTCTTTTCTTGACATTTTAAGACAAAGATGCTTCTAATATAAAAGAATACACATTTTTTTCAAGTGGTGGAAGTATCTTCCACCACTACATATATTTGGTATTGTGAATTCCTCTCCTTTCCTTTTACTTTTTCATTTGCTTTGGGCTTTTTGTTTGGTTGGTTGTTGTTTGTTTGGGTTTTTTTACACAAACCAGAACAAAAAGGAAAAACACTTGTTTCTACACCACAAAATAGAAGTAACTAAAATGAAAAGCAAAAAGTTTCATTTTTTAACATCTGCTATAAACCATTTTTAGTTCTGTGGGAATGACTATCTCCTGTAAGACAATCTCCCAGCATATTTTGAAAATGTAAATTTTCAGTCAGTTATTGTTACAAACATCTAAAAATCTCTGCACAATTACATTCTTCCTTACTTTCTATTCCTACTTCAGTATAAAAAAATAGTCCATGATTCTCTCCTGCTCCCCTGGTGATCTAAGCACCAAGCTAATGCGGCTAATATCCACTCCTTTTGGACCAAAAGCAGCATTCCTTTGTCACTACTGAGCACTGTGAATAATCAATACCTTAAACATTCTGGGTGCATAAAGAAATACCAAAATGTGGTTTTTAACTTAGACCTAGAGCTAAAAAAGGTTTGACCTTCTGTTTTATGGGTATGCTCCATGCTTGCTTCGTGCTCTCTTAATTCTCTCATTAGTATAGCAGTTCCAGATGTGCATCCTGTATTTCATTTACCTTCAATCCTGAAGGTGCATCATGTGAAAGTTACTCCCTCCACTTTTGGGGCCTGTAATTCCAGACAGACACATACATATACATATGCACGCACCCTGTCTCCCCACCCCAAATTTTGGAAAAAGACTGCAGTGTTGTCATTGTGTCGAGAGAGCATTACTGCTCTGCTGAGCCTATAATGCAATATGCTCTCAGACAGGAATTTTGCTGGTAGCTCAGCCGGACTCTGTACAGAGGTATTCCCAGTTACTGTTCGTTGTACACCCCTAAGGGGAAAAGAAAGAAATAGCAGGTGAGTCCAGGAGCTTTTTGCCAGTAAAAATTTGGAAAACTTTTTGCTAGGACTTAAAGCTTCAGCAAAACACTTGGTCTACTGTACAGTTTCCAGGCTTTTCAAGTATTGTTGGGAGGGGCTTCCTCCAACACTATCTGAACCTCTAAGGGTTTTCTTCAGACTTTGTCCTTCACCATTGACTGAGTGCTAGCTAACAGGCTAAGTCAGTCTGAGACAGGGCAACTTAATGACAGTGTGACATTAATAAACACAACCCTGCAAGCACAAACAAAGTTACTGATTGCAGTTCTCACTACACATCTTTACCCACACACACCCTGTACAAGCATTTCTTTTCCTGAGAAAAAAAACAGTTGTTTACAAGCCTGATATGCAGCTTTACATTTTGGTGACCTTAGAAAGTAAAAAACAAATCACAAAGCAGCCCTGTGCTTCCCTCCTTACAACCTCTTTTTCCTCTTGCCCTCCGTGATTACCAATCTTCTGTGCAAGATGCTTTTTATTAAAGCTTTGCTTGGGCTCTGAAAATTGTTTGTTGATGTAAGCGAAAATTTCTTAACAATCTTTAAAGAAATCTCAAAAGATGCGTGCCAGAAACAGAACTATAAAAGCTGACACAGAGGGAGAAAATGCACTGGAGGGAGTTTTCTTATACCATTAGGAATCTGGTTTATTTCAAAGGATTTCCCCCCCCCTCAGTTTGTTTCCCAATTAATACATACATCTGGGGAAAAAGAGCCTTTAAATATATAGGATTTGAACCAAGATCTAGTCTTTGTTCCTTCTGGCATTAACAACAATATGCAGTCTCTTATTTCAGAACCAGAAAGAAAAAAACAAAGTTGTATTTTCAGTAGACCAGAGATGCAGGCTAACATGGGACACTCTATGTCCAGAGCCCAGCATGGACTTTTTGAACACTTTTCCATACTTAAAGCACGACTCAATTCTACCCCACCTTCCACTATGGCATTGCAGGTGTGCCTTTTAAAAGTGAATCTTATACCAAGCTCCTCAAGTGAACAAAATGAAAATGAAAATTTTGGTAAATATAAATCAAACTTCAGATTCCTATCTGACAACTAAAAAGGATCCTTTGTGTGGATCTGCTGTTGTCATTGAGGTTTTTAGCAAAACTAAGGCAAGAACTAAATGAAACTATGTTCAGGCTCTGAAAAGTCAGTATAGCTGAGAAAAATAAAAAGTAATTGGTGTTTCTGTTAAAACATTAGATGCAAAATAATTTGTGCAAGAAGCATTTAGGCATAACACAAGAAACATCACTTACTTAGCGTCTCTTCAGTAACAGTGTTGCATAGATATTACATATTTTACTAAGTGCGATGTGGGTATAGAATTCGCATTTTTACCATGATACCATCAACTTTGTGCATGCCAAGGAAGTACTCCTTTTACAGAGATGGGGGAAAATGGGAGCTTAATGGTTGTAGCAGCTACAGTCTATGGTGCAAAGGGGAACAGAAGCAGCCAACAGGCTTCTACAGGGGGAACATTGCAGGCTGGTTCAAGGAGAGACTCGTGAATTTGACAGACAGATAGCAATATGGACGCGTGCCCTTAGAGG